GTTTGAATAAATACTTGTTGATTTTCAATATTTTTATTCTTTTTTTGTACTTAATTAACATGTAAAAGAGCTGTATAGTGTTAATTTTTAGTCTTTTTGGCTCAATTTTAATTTAAGATAGTAATCCTTGATGTCTCTTTTGTTGAAGTAGAGTGTGCTCTCATTCACATCCCTTTTAAAGTAGAGATTATCGTTTCCTCATGACTTATCGATGAAGTAACTTATTTTATTTCAAGTTGAAGCAGAGAATCTCTTTCTTCCAAATGTCTCTTGTCATGAAGTCACGTTGTGTTTTTAGTTCCTCCCTTAAACACTCATTTAATTTTGTCCATTGTATCTCGTTCGTGTGAAGGAAAAGCGTGTAATGCAATATTAACTGTGCCTAAATCCAATTGGGGATAACAGAATTTTTCATTATTTGTGTCCCTTTGCTAATTTTATTACTCAGTTATGTCATGATAATAAACACAGAGTAAACTTTTAAAAAATCCCATGTCTAGAAGGCGGTATGATAGTAATGGAGTCATCAAGGCTAAGTCATCAGTTTTTTAATTTTAAAAAAGTAAAATAAACCAAAAAAAATGTTGTGTTTAGCTTCTGCAGTTTTCTAAATTTCCAGGAGTTCTGAAAACTGTTTCTCCACGGGTAATTTAACGTATCATTTCATAATCTTTGAAATAAAGTGCCTTGTGTGCATGTTTTTAATGTGGAAAGAGAAGTCCAAATTAGATCGGCATACTGAACAGAATTTTTAAGCGCAAATTTTTAATTACTTGATATTTATGATGCATGAGTCTTGACCCTACCTTTCAAGTCGCCTCAGATAAGTCTATATGCACATGTATTATTCTCTATCCATTGAATTTTCATATACTTAATCTTCAAGTTTGTGTTTTACATTACAACACACTAACACTCAATACTTCTTTTGTGGTCATGTTTGGGCAAGTAAATTTATTGTATACGTTCTGTACGGGAGCGCAAAGAGAGCACACAAATTCTCACCTCCAGATGCAGGTCTGCGAGATAATTTGAGAAACTAAATCATATTTTTGTGAATAAGACAATTACTGAAATATCAAGTACGTGACCACCATTGTTTCGTCTGGATGTTATTTATGTATCACCTGCTGTAAAAAGTCATCAACTATTGACCATGCATATAGGCAAGAAAGAGGACTTTGCAACCATTTACTCTGCCGTGCTCAGCAAAAAGGTCGTATCTTCAGTGGAATCCCTATGCACATGTGCCCTTTTTGCTAAGCATGTCAGTATACTCTCCTCTTACAATGTTCAGGGAATTGATAGAAATAAGTGGCGTTAAATCATTGGAGGGTGTGAAAACTCTCAACGAGTATATTTTTACTTTCTCGTTTTTTCTTATCATATGTCAAATAAAACTGGTTATTCTGAAACCTTCGTGTCAACTCATAGCTGATGAAGTTTTAACCTTTTTTCTTTTCATTGAATCGATGCTTGCTTTTTCGTGTGATCATAATACTTTCATGTGCCTTAGAGCTGTTTGAAGAAAAAAAAAAGAAAACAAATTTAGTTCCATTTTGTAAAATATGATACTTTATTTTCTCGCTTATCATACTCAGTAAATACCTTTATGTTTAAAAAGACTGACGAAATATTATTTCAACCAAAAAATGATCGATTCAAATTATCGAAAGAAATAGATTATTCCTGTGACGAATTAATGGTTGATAATTGACCTTGCGGGTTTGAGAATTGCCAGATTATAGTTGTATACGTATTATTATGCATATATTATGTTAATGTGCGTCAAAGAGAAAGTCATGGCTTCCAAGAATCAGATCAATCAATATTTCAATTTTTTTTTTTTTTTTTTTTTTTTTTTTTTTTTTTTTTTTTTTTTTTTTTACAGAAGTTTCCTTTTTTTCTATAATGCAGGCACGAGCAGAGACGTTGAGTGCTTTGCGATATATCGATTGATCTGTCATTTAAACCTATGGAAAAGGATCGATAATCAGGGTATTCGCAACAAACACCTTGACAATTGATTCTTTACCACAGCTTCAAATGGGGAAGAATCGATACTCCCTCATTCACGCCTCGCCATGGGGCACGGTTCACAATATTTTATGAAATAAAATGAATTCCTAACAATATTGTTATTTCACTAGTAAAAATTGAAAATTCCGTAAATACGTACGTTGTAATCTGATTTTTTAAGTAAGTACAGTCATTGCTTTCCATGAAAGAAATGATTTTCGCTCTCAAGATTGGTACTGTGCATTCTACCATCCATGACCTTTTTTACCCCTTTTGATTCCATTTACCCAGATGTGGTACCTTTTTTTATTATCATTTATATTTTTTATCTGATACTGGAATACTGTTCAAGAGTATTTTTACACTTTGATAACGTCTTGTGCTAGTTTGTTTTTTACTGTTTTAAGTTTTTTAAGTATTTATTATTGTTGCAGTTATACAGAGCCATATTGGTTAACTTTTATTAGGTACTTAGGACCTCTAGGGTTTGTAAATAAGTTTTTTAAAGTTGCAGATGAAGACCAGAAGCGTCTTGCACACTGATTTCAAGCCATTGAAATCGGTTTTTATTTAAATTCCACCAGTAAATGTTGATCATTTACTCTGTTATTATTGCTGAAATACAAAGTAAGATTTATTTGTTCTTTGGCGTTTTTATTTAATTTGAAAAATACCTCCCCATCATCGAAAAAAGTACTCCCTCATCTGTTAGTTTCAGTTAGTTGTTGATCTATCATAGTCAATAAGTTCAAATCTGAATCGATGTAAAGCTTTGAAAGTTATTCTGTCACTCGTGCTGTTTCCTTTCTATTTCACCTGAAAACTTATACCATTACATCAGTAACTTAGAATCAAAGGGTTCACTAAAATTCATGGATCGAGACATTCATTTATACTTGCAACATTTTTTATAAGAGAGATCACTTTGAGTTCAGGTGAATATTCTAAGCTTGTGTCAGTTAGAAGCTAGAGAATAGTTAGAAGATTTGTTCCTGAAATTGCGTATTTTAGAACATGTTGAAACTTTGCTGCTTTTACCTGCGATGGAAAATAAAAGCAATTTTAATAATATGCAGAGTAAGTGAAGTACCAGTATCGAAGTTCAAATTTCATAGTTTTATTGTAAAATATTGCAAAGCATCGGGTTGTCAGCCCTCAGGGGTTCAGTGGTTAAAGTGCCGACCCTTTCATCAGGCAGTTCGACGTTTGATTTCCGACCCAGCAATCTGAGTTATGGTCTCAAGCAAAGGGTGACCTAGTGCTGAATGTAAATTAAAGAACCAGGGGGTTAAGCTTGGGATCGGTCCTTGAGAGCCACTCATACTGGAAAAAAAATAAAAATAAGGAAACGTGCTGCAAGCCATAATTTGATAAACTCATAATAAACAAATACATAAAAACTCAGGCAAAGAATTATGGCTTTCTCACTATCCATTACTTCTGTTTAATACCTCAATAGATTCTGCATTGGTGTCCAAAGACAGACACCTTTGAAAACTCGAAGTAAACATTAAGACCTGCAAATGGGAAGAAATAGGGGGAATTTTTATCG